CCACTTTAGTCCAGTTCAAATCACACAGGTGGTATCCATCCCTTCCAGATGCCTTATTGCAGTAAGACTTCTGTTCTGAGCACCCCCATCAACAGTAGTAATGTACAATATAGCTATCAACATTCTAAGAGTTACTTGGACGAAGACGATGCAGTTCAGTTAGACTTATGGCCCTTTCTTTCTTAGAGACACTCAATCATGAACCAGACGAGCCACAGGATTCCACTACTTTCACAGACTTGTCACATTATGAATCAATCACCCCTTCAGAACTAAGAATCAAAGGGCATGTGGTCACACCCATCTACACCCCTGGCATGGGGATATTAGAGATGGCATCTATAGAGGGGTGCAAGGTTTATTGGAAATCAAACATTTACTTCCTACTACCTCTAGTACTTTGTTCCAGACAGTGCCTGTACAGTGCAGGCTAAAGAAAAAATGGACCATGTTGTGACTTGCGTAATCTACACAAGCGATAGCCACATCTTTTTTTTCATACCATGCTTTAATGCACAAGGAATCATTCCTTTGCTCTTTTTCATGGTCTTGTTTACTTTAAAACAAGCAGCCTCTCGGCTGAGATAGCTCCGCTGTTAGCAATGAACATTTCAATTAAAGTACAGAAGATATCATTAGAAAATGAACAATATGTATAGTGTCAAAACAATCAGACTTGCGGTTTTCAACAAGAAGTGGAAAATATCACTTTTTACCAAAAATTACAAAAATATTCATGAAATGAACAAATCTGAGTTAGAACCACATGTAGTACCTATATATGTAATATCAAAGCAATTGGACTTGCGGTTTTCATCAAGAAGTCGAAAATATCACTTTTTACCAAAAATGACAAAAATATTCACCAAAATTAGAGAATTAATGATGTCATTACAAAATGAACAAATCTGAGTTAGAACCACATGTAGTACCTACACATGAAATATCAAAGCAATTGGATCTGTGGATTTTAACAAGAAGTTGAAAATATCACTTTTTACCAAAAATGACAAAAATATTCACCAAAATTAGAGAATTGAAGATATCATGAAATGAACAAATCTAAGAGAGGTCTACCCAAGGTACATATACACCAAGTATCAAAGCATTCAGGCTTGTAGTTTTCAGGAAGAAGTCGAAAAAGTAAAACACTGACACGAACAATCACTCATATGATAAGCTCCACTCGACAAAGTCGACAGTGGAGCTAAAAATGTGGTATATAGCACTTTAAGTTACAACATTCCATTCTGCATAGAAGTTTACTTCCCCAGGTAAGCTATACCAGCATCTTCACATGATGCAAAACAGATCTGGAGTACTTCATCATAACACGTTTACCCCTCTTCCGGTTAGATTATTATAATTGTAATGACCGGAACTAGGGTAGTATTTTGGTTATTGACCAATTTGTAAGATATGTGAACATATCAACCAAAGCAAGTGTCAGTATGCAGTCTATAAGATAAAGTAGCCATACTTTACTTTTCCAATTATTCACATGAGGTGTACTTTGAGGTTAAATTATCAAAGTAACAACAGCCAGCCAAAGCAATAAAATACACAAGCAGCGTTCAATTTTACAAAAGTAATAATAACACAAGAGACAAAACCCTTCCAAGATATATTTACATTTATTTGTAATTTTTTTTATATAGAAGGTTAAAATATAAAGATGTTGGGATAATATACCAAATACAAACAGCGTACACATGGTTTATTGCATTGAACACTCAATAGTGGGGGGAAATATGATACAAAGTTGAAGCTAATCACTAAATTCTGGTGGGATGGGAGGGAAAGGTTGGTATCTAATCTGGACACAGTACATAGCTTGTTGGTATTCTGATTATCAATAAACACAATGCTTAATGCTGGGATAAATAAGTTAACAATATACACTCTCTAACACGGGATTATCAATTTATTACAACACAGGTATCACAGAAATTAACAAAACAAATTTAAATGGACACAAACTAAGTAGTTTTTTTTTTTCACTCTTAAGAACATGATCTGCACATGACAATGCAGTAAGTCTATTCAGAGCTAGTATCGTATACTGTCTTACAAAAATCTATACTCTTCTAGAAATATGTAGTTGTTGTCTTTGTAGATGATACTGTAACAGCAATTTATATATCTGTTATAATATCAAACTTAAGATTTTTTTTTTTAATTTCACTTTTTTTTCCTCCAAAGATATACCTATTCTTTCCTGGTGAAAGACTTCAGAAGATATAAGTTTTTTTTTTTTTTTTAAACAAGATAGTCTGTCCACCATTGGCACAAGTGAGCACAAGATACAGAGAGTTTTAAGAATGACATTTGCCTTGTGTTACAGTAAGTGCATTGTAGTTTACACATGGTAGCCACGCATATCTTGGGGTTTTATGATATATTTATATACATATAGACTTGAAACATAACTGTCTATAGAAAAAGAACAATATCTGTGAGTTAACTACAGCTGCTGTTTCAGTTAGGGGAGAAGCCTCATTGGTTATATGTCCAGCACATAACAAGGTAATAGTCACCATTCACACTAATGTATTGGACATATCCTGCCCATACTTTTAATAGACAGGGCTACACATGAAAATATACTGTATCAAAAATTTTGGTTTTTTCCTCATTTTTTCTTTCTTTCTTTTCTTCACAAAAATAGTTCCAAACATCTTTAAAATCATAAATTAAGAGTAAATCTGAACATCCTGTCTGCATACAGTACAAATTAATAAACAGATTACATTGTGAATTGGTCATGTAATGTATGATATTACTGTGAGTGTAGGCTCAACAGCTTTTAGCTGACTGTCTTCCAATTAAAAACTGAACTTAAAAACAAAATATTAGTATAAATTTCAGGCTAGGGTAAATGACATTGTGTTTGCTCCTCATAATCTTTCATACATTTCTTTTTAATACTCAAAAAATATGCAAGAAGGAGGGATATTCTTGGGTTTTTCTTTTGCTTTTTTTTTATTCACACTAGTGCAACAGAAAAACTTGATTGCCCTAAACTGCAAGGTCACACATTTCCTCATTACAAATGTGAAACAATTACATTGGGGGAGATACGACTTAAAATATTCCATATGATGGGAATAAGACTAGCTGTGTTACTTTTGACACATGTTCACATTACACGTATGCAAATTGTCAGTAACTCTCCAATATACAAGTTATAGCCTAAGACCACTCCACATGTTAATTTTATTTTATACGACTTAAATTTATCTTGAATAAGGAATATTGATTAGTCACAATCAATGGAATAAAAACATTTTATATCTTTCTGTTTTTTTCTTTATATAAAAAGCTATTTTCATGTGTTCATAAAAATCTCTTTTTTCAAACTCAAGTAACATTGGGATCAACCATGCATTTGGCAACTTTCAGAGATATTTAACAATAGTGGACACAAAATCATCCTGTTGATGAACTCATACGTCACTTAAGATTTGTTTAAATCAAAGGAAAAATAAACACTGGCAAATTGTAATACAGATCAACCATGCGCATTAGCTTGGGAGCAGGGAAACAAGAAACCTGCTGATATAATACACTCTGAACATTATTTTGTAAATAAAATGTTTTTGCACAATTGTGTTGAATGCTAGAGTTGCACGAGATAAGGTCATGAATTCATTGCACACAACCAACAAGCTCTCAACAAACTGACAATAAAACTCAGCGATGTCTCAACAATGGACTAAATATAATAATAAATATTCACATATTGACCAGCAATATGATTAACGACAAGAATACATTCATTAAAAAAAAATGGACATCAACAATAATTGTGTACCCCCTCCCCCCTCCCCACAAATTTGTGCAGTGCTTCAGTTTTAAGCTATCAGTGATACATGCAAATAAATATGGATTATCAAAAATATCATTTGTTTCAGGCTACTGGATGAGGACAGCATTGTAATGGCCACTGATATACTAGTGTTGGTTTATTAAGCTAGCACCTTCATACGGTGTTGGCCAATTCTCTATATAGCATATTTCAATGCATGGACATGTGCCTGAACCAAGCCTCTCAAGATTTAGAGCTAGGTCTATGGCAAAGATGCATTGTCTATCATCTGTAATACTGGTAATGCTTCAAGACATTCAAATCTAGTATACTTCACCAAGCATCTGTGTACCGCACATCACACTCTTCCAGAGAAGGTAAATGAGCCTAGACAGAAGAAATCAATACAAATATACATTTAACACTAGCTACAATGGAGAAATTACAAAGTGTATTCACATAGATCATATACCTTGCATTACCCTGCCTCATACTACGGTCCTGATGAGGGAACAAACTTTAAACAAATTGTTTGGCTATACATGAAACACACCCCGTGTAAAATTGGGCACTTCTACTATGCACCTTAGCTGCATGCTGTCCATACAGATTACTTGCAGACTAATTTCTCTCTTACAATCATGACACAAGACAATACTATGTCACTGAATATGGAATTAAAATCAGCAAATTTTGATTATATTATCAAATAAATTATCATCGGCATATTTCGTTTATATAATTCTACGTCCAGAATACTCTATAGCTTGACTCTAGTCCGATACAATAATAACCAGATCAATCCAGAACATCTGCACACATTTTTTGTTTGTTCAATGCAGCTATCGGTATAACGATAGAAGTTTCTGAACACCACGGTCACCATTGGTAATGGTCAGTTTGAAATGAAAACAAACAAAAGTGGCATGTTTGGAAAAAGTGCTACGAGATTAGGTACTATAAAGAATATCTCACCTTGAGCTTCACAAATGTGAGAGCTGATAACTGAGTACTGTTCAGATTCAGTCGCCGTAAACTTTTAATCTGTGTTAAACAGTTAAGGCCTTCATCAGTTACTGTAGTCTCACACAAATTCAGGACTTGTAGCTTCAGCAGATGCTCTGATATTAACTGCAGGCCAGTGTCTCCAAACTGCAAATAAAAGAAAAGGAAAATAGTAAAAAAAAATTACTAATACAGACATGTTAAAAATTGTTTTTGTCTTGTGAAATAAAATCTCTGATCTACCCCTGTAATCTACATGTAATAACAGAAAATTTAATTTCATTATCAATTCACATGAATCGTATTTGCTCTATGAATACTGCATGCACTTATGTCAGAGGTGTGGATATTGCCAAAAGAAGTAATACATGTATTTGAATGATCCAGTATACAGTTAAAGCACAGCAGTCCTCGCGCTGCGCATGTGCAACGTTTGTGTTGATAAACATTCATTTTCCCACAATCCAATGCGCTCTTTTAATGGAAATCACAAGTAGAATTGCACTGATTACCACCGGTAACTCCATTGACACCTTCCAATCACCTAAATTACCTAATTATTATTTCATAACGTCTCAGTTTTTACTCGCTGATCTGCGCAACAGTCAAAGTCGCCACCTTTGTTTATATGAGACCCATACATCTTGTGCATGCGTGGCGCGATGACTACTGCCCTTTAATGCAGTTGATGGTTTATAGGCACACCTATTGTACAAGGTGACTATTATTTTACTCCCATAGTGCATCATATACAGTGCAATGTATCTAAAACCTCTCTTTAGAGACTTTATAATCAGCAACCATGACATATTGCTGATTTTTTGTGTTGTTATTCCCCACACAGCTCACAAAAAGAATAAAATGAAATAGTGGGGCTTCATGACTAAAATAGTGTTTTCTTGAGAGAACTTAAATTTGAATTTTTGAATTCAATCACATTTTGAGAGTTCAATCATTCTCACGCACATTTTTACAATGATGATGCAGATTTTAATACTATGATGTTATTACAAGGATACCGAAAAGTATGCATGAAGACAGTCGATGTGATGATGTACTGTCTGAGTTCATACTTTGCGGTATCTTCGTAATAACCTTATTATTATACATCTTTTGCTCCCAATGATACATCATGGGAATGCCGAAATCCAAAAATTTTAGAACAGATTCAAGCAAACGGTGCGTGGAATCCAGTCAAACCCTGGTGGCAGCCATGTTTGTTATTATTAGAGGTCACTTAGGCACGTAATCATTCCATATTTGGAATTTGCATTTCCTTGTATAGTAGGATGAAAATACCCCATAAAATACTGCAAAATTACAACACGATGCAACTTATGGACGTTACGGTGACAGATGTATAATAATACTATATATTCCTTAAGGTTGAACATGTGATAGTTACCTATATAAACAGGAAATTCACTATAATTTCATCAATATGAGGTAAACCATAGCAAAAACAATTATCAAAATGAATGCTTTAAAAAAAATGAGTGAACTTATTCTCTCCATGTCACAAAATATCAAAAGGCATTTGCTGAAGCAAAGGGGACTTGGTTAATTGAAATTTCACAATTCAAAAAATTGGGGTATAACTTAACTAGTTTTTGAATTATAAACCACAGTTGCATATATTATGACCCAATCAGAATGGCCACAGAAGTAGGCCTTAACACTATGGAAAATTCATTGACCACATGGGAAAAAGTTCGGTTACCCTCTTTTTCATTCTTTTTTTTTTTTTTAAATATTTTTTGTGCCAGGCGACAGTTCCGGACATTGGGTATCACTGTTGTCTCTCCTGACTTTTTTTTTTTGTATGCGCAAATTGCAAGTGCTAGTGACGACACATAGTGCATTCTTTTTCATTCATTTTGATGTAATCTTTCATTTATAAAAATATAAAATTTTTGAAATGATTTTAAATTTTTAATGTGCCTCAATCCTTAATTATCACATATATCACATATTCAGAAAATACGTCTACTAAGTTGCTAGAATAACTCGCAATTAGACTGAATAACGTATACTTACATTGGTGGACCATAAATTCAGATACTTCAAATTTGGCAGTCGAATGATGGTTTCCGCACAGGCACTCGTAACATGCGTGAAGGCAAGATTCAGACATTCCAGGTTGCCAAAAGACCCTGAATTTAGAAGTTGGCGCAAGTCTGCATCTGTGGATTTGGGCGGGAGTGATAACGTCTTGGGACCTCCCTTTGACTGCTGTGTGAAAAATCAGAGAAAATGACTGAAATTTTCCCGCTGGGAATAAATAGTACAGGTTAATTATGTCCATGTTCTTGTAAATACTGTTGAGGGCACCAGACACAGACAAAAATACAATAAACTCAGTATTGACTGATATTCTGGCTGTGTATTATGAAACTGGATAAGAATCCATACGAATGGATACATACCAACTCCTTGAGGGCAATCTGTCTTTCACACAAATCTGCATACATTTTCCGGCCTTCTGGTGTACTCTCCAGGGTGGTTATAACCTGAAGCCTGTCATCATGGTTATCTAACAATTCCA